ATGCCTTGAGGAAGGCCTGGCACACAAACCTCTCTCCATGTCCCCTGCCCACAACTGCAGGAAATGTAACACAGAGCCCAGCCCCTTAGCTACAATGGGACACATTTTCCTTTAAAAGTTTTAATAAAACTTGGTGATCTAACCGTAGATCTTCACAAAGCTACGTCCCTTCATAGATCTGAGGATGGATAGGAAGTACTGTTGGGAAGAGCAGTCATTTTTTTTTTTTTACTGCACCTACAGAAAAAAACTACATTTCTGTTTACATCATGACCCAGTATGCAGATACATACCTAAATCCTGAAACAAAAGTCTCATGCATTTGTTTTTGTTATTAGCCACCACTGATTGTGAGTCATGACAGCCCCATGTGTGCAGAGACAAACAGCTCCGTAGAGTTTGCAAGGCTGTGTGTGACCTTTCGGAAGGCAAGCTCCCACTCGGCTTGTCTTTCCAAGAAGCCTCCAAGTGGGCCCAAAGCACCAGCACTTTGTCCAATCAGGTGACTCCTCTCATGAAATGTTAACCTCATTAAAATGAAGTGCATGCTACGACTACTTTCTGTTCTATTTCATGGTTGAAAAAAGAAGCTGACCCTTACCCCTGATTGACGACCTGCAGTTAGAAAACTCATGTGCAGTTTGGTGAAATGTCAATAGTCCCCCGTTCAAGTTCTTACTGCTGTTTTTGGATGAAAGTTCTTTGTTGTCTTGTTAACACCAGCAGGCCTGCCAATAGAAGGGCCACCAGGAAGCAGTGGAAGGCAGAAAAAGGTGAGCCACAGGGACCTCCTGATAGCAGCTTAGGAGTTGGGCTTTGAGGCCTCTGTCCTTCCCTCCCTAGTAAGAATATCACAGTTGGGTTCCTGCCTGCATTCTTCTATGAAATTGAGATTTAGCTTGTCTTTCCCATAGGCAGATGAGAAGACACTGGGAAGAGCCTGGAATAGAGTGAGCATTTACTTTTAACATTAGCTATAAGTTTTAGTAGAATGGTTGTCTTGATATCCTCATGTGTGGTTGTGGGTTGTGGATGTGAGCCACTTATTGCATCTAAATTGTCCTCACACATCAGCCCCACCTTCTGCATCCCTCCCCTGGACCCTCAGTATGTGCTGCACTCGTCCTTGGCCCTGGCCTTGGTGACCCACAGGAAAGCACTCCTTTTGCTTGCTTTTATAGCTACTAGCTGTTGTTAGTTGCTGTCAAGTAAGCACTGATTTATGGCAACCTTGTTTATAAGACAATCACTTTCCTAATACTGCCAACCTGGCAGAGGCCTCGTCTTCTGTCACTCTAACAGTGTTCTCTTGTGATCCATAAGGATTGTTTGGGCTCATTTTTTTTTAAAATAGATCATCAGACCTTTCTTCCTAGTCTTACTGTAGATGAGCCACTGAAACCTGCCCGCCATGATTTACACCCCTGGTATTTGTATCACTGGCATAGATTCCAGCAATATGCAACCTGTCATAGTAACTGGCAGATGGGTGTAGTAATAATAAATGACAGACCTTTAAAAACCAGCCATAACTTAAAAAAGAAAAACCCTTTCATTACGACCCCTGTTGGGATGTCAAACTTTCTAGGGCTCCTATCTTTGAGCAAGTCTGCTTCATCACTTAGCTTCTTTCTGACTGTTCTAACTTAAAGAGACCTTAGAGAATTTCTCTGCTTCTGCTGGTGTCTTTTGCAGACCACTGCTATGTCTTTTCCCTGTTATGTATATCCTCTCAGACCTGGTCTGGCCTCTTGCCCTCTTATCTCCTCTGTACCATTCACTCAGCAGTCACCCCTCCCTGCTCCCACCCCCTTCCGTGGTCAGCAGCTGGCTTTTAATCTCTCAGCACTGGTTCTACTGTGCTCGCCCACATGATTGACCCCATGGAGCAGTGGGTGCTCCCAACCGAGAAGAGAATACAGAGTCCCCACCCTTCCTGTACCAGGCTTCAAGATTCCGACTAGAGAAAATAAATACATGCCAGGAAGAGAAGGCTGTCATGAGCCTGGATTGCCAGCCTTATAGAGTCCCTGCTTCCTTTCTGCTCTTTGGGGATCTCTTTTTGGGGCACCCTTCACTGTAGGTGCCAGAAAAAGAAACCTTCCCTATGTACCTGCCAGATGCCAAATGCTGGTTCACTTCATCTTTGCAGGCTCTCTGTGGGGAGAAAATCCAGTCACATTTCACAGACGTGGGGAGGCTCAGAGGGGCTAAATCACCTGCCCTAGGTTGCACAGCTGATGAGTCACAGGCTTGGAAGTGAACCAGACAGTTCATTCTGACTGCAGAGCCTCTGTTCTTTCCGGAACTTCTGTCTGGTGCCTTGTGCCTTTTCAGCCACCTGAGACTCCTCCCACACCCGCTGCCCTCAGGGGCTCCTCCACCAGGTGTGACCTTGGGGCATGACCTTGTTACTGTGTGCCCTGAAAGTTCATTCATTGTTGGCTAGGCAAAGTTTATCTGCCTGCAGAAATAATGAGATTTTTGCCTTAAATTTCTTATTCTTAAGAAAAAAAATTTAATAGTTGAAATTATGTGAAAAAGATGAGGATTATTTTATTCTTAAAATAAAAAAGTAATTCTAATCCTGTAGAATCATACAGAGAGCCCTGGTGGTTCATTGGTGGAATTCTTGCTGTTCCAGGGGAAAGACCTGGATTTGATTCTGGCCAATACTGTCAGAGGCCGGAGCAAGTTTCAATGGGGCTTCCAGACCTAAGGCAGACAGATCAATAAAAGCGACTTGGGTGATTTACTTTAGAAAAACCAGCCAGTTAAATCCCTGTAGGTCACAAAGGTAACCATAAGTCAGAAGCCAACTCAGCAATGGCTAACAACAGCATAAAAGCCTATAGAGGAAGAGGTAAATAGTTTTTTAAAAGTATGTGATAAAATAAATACATGAACTTGGTTACTTTAACCATTTTTAAGTGCACAATTCAGTACTGACAGTGAAATCGCTATTTATTTCCCAATTTTTTTTCTTCACCCCAAATAGATACTCTGTCCGTATGGATGTTCAGCAAGAGTTTACCTATTGATTCATTTTCCAAAAGGCAAAATCTACTAAGGTTTCTCATAGAGCCAGAGGTCCACTGGAGAGTCCCCAAATAAAGCCATTTGCTGACTTTTTCCCCTCCTTACTCAACTGGCTACATATTGGGAGCAACATTTGCGGGCCTATAAAAAAAGGATACAGAGGGTTGTACTAGAGGGAGGAGGCTCTAGTTCTGAGATGCAGTGACCCATAGGTCCACCAACACCCCTGAAGCTAGCAGAGTTTCCATCCAGACAGGCTGGTTATTATGACTCAGCAGGAATGAGGACCTGTGAGCAAAGCTATGCCCATCTGTACCCTGAGAGAAAGAGTGGAAGGAACAGAGAGGAAAAACTGTACATTTTAGCCTTATGATGTACCAGGCTCAATTCTTCCCCTTCTCAGAAGCAATGGGAAATTATTTCTAGGGTTGAAATTTGAGGCAAGTCATTGACTAACCATCACATGCCTGCATGTGGGAAAGTGGCTATGAATGTGCACACAGAGAATGCTGGACCTTTACAGCTCAGCCATAAAAATTTCATGGTTCCAGCCACAACCATGTTCTTCGGCCAACTCGTCACTTTAGTCATTGAATAGATCAGTCAGAGTGTTTATGCTACAACATTTAAAAACACAATGTCATTGCTTTTTAAATCGGAACTGACTCATAGCTGACCTCCATCTTTTTTTTTCAGATGCTATAAATCATATGAGAGGAGATGGTCCCTCTTTCTCGCACAGAGCAGCTGGTGAATTCGAACCACCAAAGAGGAGAACCATGGGGTTGGTAGTTCAGCTCCTTACCACCAAGATGCTAGAGCTCTCCACAACATATAGGCCTTCCTAAATTAATTTATGGAGCTCTGATGGCCTAGTGGGTAAGGAGTTGCCAGAGGCAGTGTCTGCCGGTTCGAATCCATCACCGACACCGTAGGAGGAAGATGGGTAACTTCCAACTGGGAAATATTAAGCCTCGGAAAACCCACTGGAGCGTCAGCTATGAATCGGTTTTGACTCAGTGGTAATGAGAGAAAGAAATTAACTTGTACTCAATTTTTGGTCGTACAGATACTAGAATAATAAAAGCAGGGTCAAACACTAGTAATAGACTGGGAACCCTCGCTAACGCCTAAAGTCCCAGAGATCACAGAATGGTCAGCAGCACGTTTAGAGAGTGTTTCCCCGCCAGCCTCGCCTAGCATCTTTGCCTACCACCTCCGTCCTGCAGGCAGGTTTTCTGGTTAACACCAACACCATTCTAGTTATGTTGATCGTTTATCTTTTTCACGAAAAAGACCTTTCTTCCCTGGTAGATGATCCCGTAAAACCAACTATTCCAGAGCTTAGCAACTCTCTCAGGCCAGGAAATCCTCCCTTGCCTCAAACGTATGTGTAACAAGAGGGATTTATTTAGCTTTAAGCCGGTTTCCTTGCATTTTGCCTTCTTGTTCAGGAGAAGCCGTGCAATGGATGTACAGTCAGTCGTTGACTAGACCAGGAAGGGTAGTGTTTTCCTTCTTTCCCACACCAGAGCGCCTCTTGGAAGAAAAGCCTGAGTTGGGTTTGGCGTCTTTAGTGCATATGGAAACTCACGGTGGCTATTGCCTGCCCAACATCCCTGGGATCCCCTCAAAAAGTAGCTCTGATCTTGTCTGCGTACTCCTGCACATCTTCCTTGGCAGGTTTTCATCCAGAACCGAAGGCATGTCCCCTAAACTTGCCTGGAGTGCCTACATTCTGCAGTCTTCAGGGTGCAGCCCTGACCTTAGGTGGGTGCTCTGCACTGCTGTGCCCTATTGCCATTTTCTCCAGGCCCACAGTGCCACCTAGTGGCAAATACAGAGACTGTTCCGTTCCCAACTCCATCAGATTAGTCTGGGGTAGGAGGATTCAAGTTCTTTCTGGCTTCCTGCTGTCTTGGCAATATTCTCCTTAACCTGCATCCGTTTCTCCTTTACAGGTGGCTATGAACGGTTTTCATCAGAGTACCCAGAATTCTGCTCCAAAACCAAGGCCCTGGCTGCCATCCCACCTCCAGTGCCCCCAAGCACTGTGGAGACCTTGGATCTGGGCTGTAGCTCCTGCGGAACCCCTCTGCACGACCAGGTAGATGCCAACAGGAGCCGGGCCAGGGTGAGGGCAGATGGAGGACTTTCTGCTCACACTCCTGTGTTTCAGAGGCTTTGAGTTTGCACCTCAGTTTGGGGTGAATGTGGTGAGCCCTTAGTATTGGAGGGTGGTGTTAGTTAGGAACTCCTTGGAATTCTTCTGTCTGCTTTACATCAGACATAGGAAGGAGGAAGTTGTAGGAGCACAAGTATGACAATGCCACCAGAACATCAAACCCCCAGCTGCTCTGCGGGAGAGAGATGGGCGTTTTCCTCCTGTGCTAGTTATAGCTTCTGAAAACTCACTGGAGGATCAGCTACAAGTTTAACTTTACATTTTAAATTATATTGATGGTTACCACCTAGAATCCCCTGATTTAGCTGCTAGGGCTATATGCAGCAAAGGGAGGAGGCTGAGAGAAGCTGTGTGGTCTGCTGTGCAGGAGGCTGAGAGATAGAACACCTATGTTCTTAGGAGCAGCCCTGAGCCACAGGAGTCAGGTTGTGTCCCGAGTACCTGCCAATGGTAAATTCCTGATGCACACAAATGCACCCCAGCCTCTCCTGAAGAAAACTACCTTAGGCTATTCCATCTCCTTCAGGCCCACCCCCTCCAGCCCTTCCAGGCAGATGATGAGCGAATGGATTTACAGGACACAGCTCCTCTGCTTCACAAATCTCATCGCTTCAGTTGTCCTGACTCGTGAACTTTGAGTGATTTGGGCTGTCTTCTAGCTAAAATCCTTTCTCTTGTCTGTGAAGCAAAGATCATGACCTCCTTTGAGTGAAGACAAGCATGTAGCTGAGCCAGCCACACAAGATTAGCTTGGTTATCAATACATATGAATTCTTTTTAAAATATTTCATTGGGTCTTTGATGAAAGTTTACCCATGTTCCTATTTAGCAAACACTGCATAGATAGTCCCCAAGCCACTGGTTACATTTTCACGATATTTTAATGTTCTTCATATCTCCTTTCTGGATTTTACTTCTAGGAATCTGATTTCTCTGTCTTCTTATATGTTTGCCTTTGCTTTCATTTAATTGCTGATTACTTGATCTCATAGATTATTTTTTTTTAAAAAAAGTATGCTGTACTCACTGGTAATATTCTTTATTTTTTTTCCTTTTTTTAAAATTAATTTCAATGAACATTTACAGAGATTTTGGAGTTCCATTCATTCATTGTTGCACTTTTCTCCCTGCCCACCCCACCTCCACCCCCAGTTCACTCTTCTCCTTGAAAAGCAAAAGAAAAAACTCCTTCATTAGTATACAATCCCCCACACCCACAATATTCTTTATTTTATACACCTGTTATTTAGCTAAAAAATGTGCTTGGGGTAATTTTGGTTTGAGGCTTGTGCAGTGTCTCTAGTCTTAATTGTTCCAGCTAAGTCTGGACTTTTTAAGAACTTGAGTCCTAGTCTACGTTTGCCTATCATTCTGCCAGAGCCAGTCCGTTGTGGCTGAGATGAGCACGGCTGGTGGCGGTGAGGAGATGGGCTCTGGTGGCATCGTCCGTAGGGAGTTGCACTGCTAACATAAAGGTGGTACCTCTGTCAGTGTGAATCCACCAGCAGCTTCATGCGAGGATTGACAGTCTCCTCCCGTATTGTTTACAGTCTCAGAAAATCAGCTCTGACTCAGTGGCATTGAATTTGAGTTTGTTTTGCGTTCCATCAGTAGCAACCTATTGTGGCCCCGAGAAGAATGCTTGTTAGAGGTGGTCAGGTACCGCCTAGTTCTTCAGGTCTGTGAGTAAATGAGGTTGTAGACCAGTTTCTTCTCTGAGTCTTTGGTTTCCTTATTTCTCCTTTACTTTGGACAAGACGAGGGTCACTTGCAAGCTTTTAAGACCCTGGGTACTACTCTCACCTTATGAAATTTAGAAATATAGCATAAACTTTGTGATTGCCATTATGCCAATTCTTTGGGCATCGTCTGTAGCCTCCTACAGGCTGCTTGAGTCAGCAGGTGAGACCAACAAGGCTTCACTTGTCCCTTAGCTTCTCTGCTTATGGGGAGACAGAAAGCAATGACCAGAGACGTTCTGACAGGCCTATTCTCTCTGTGGGACTTAAGAGCATCAGGAGGACAATAGAAAACAGAAAGGCCAGGCTTTGGTATCCTCCCCAAGGCCCATGAAAACCCACCTCAGACTAGCTTCCTGCCCTTTTCCTATTGCCTCACACTCATGTTGTGCATGGGCCTTTTTTTCCCTTTCCTGATGCAGGGGGGCCCTGTGGAGATCCTCCCCTTCCTCTACCTCGGTAGTGCCTACCACGCTGCCCGGAGAGACATGCTGGATGCCCTGGGCATCACGGCCTTGTTGAATGTCTCCTCGGACTGCCCCAACCACTTTGAAGGACACTATCAGTACAAATGCATTCCTGTGGAAGATAACCACAAGGCCGACATCAGCTCCTGGTTTATGGAAGCCATTGAATATATCGGTAAGTTGGTCCAGGGCTGGAGCTAGGAAGACCAAGAGGAAACTTCTTGTAACTGTGGAGGGAGGGACTTAAAGTCACTGTGTGCTGGTTCTCCTCTTTTGGTCACCCACTGGGTGCTCTACTGGCCAGTGAGAGGAAGAAGGGCTCCTCTGTGACTGGCAGAACCCTACCTTTGCATATGGACTGTGTCTAGATGATAGGAGTTTCAGGGCAGAGAGGAAGACAGAGAAAGGCAGGGGGGCAGGGAGGCCATTGTGTTTGTTTATGCACATGGAAGCCCTTGAATTGGTTGTTGAGGTGTAGTAACTGGTTTCTAGAGGGGTGGAGGGTCAGCATAGGAGAGGAAGATCCGGGATGAGATGGATTGACACAGTAACTGGGGCAATGGATGTGTGTGTCTCTCTGTGTGTGTGTGTGTGTGTGTGTGTGTGTGTGTGTGTGTGTGTGTGTGTTAGAGACAGTGAGACTGGCTCAGGACAGGGCAGGCTTCAGAGCTGTTGTACACAAGGTCACTATGAGTCACAGGCTACTGGAGGGCACATAACAACCGCGTTCTATCTGATTTGGCTAATTCCCCTAAATACCTAGAATGGCTCCCACATGCTTGTCTTCCCACCCTTCTCCATCCTTCTCCCACCTGATGTATGGCTCATGCCCGCAGTGAGGGCCAGGCCTAACTGTGTCTGCTCTCCCCCAGACGCCGTGAAGGACTGCCGCGGGCGGGTGCTGGTGCACTGCCAGGCCGGCATCTCACGCTCTGCCACCATCTGCCTGGCTTACCTGATGATGAAGAAGCGGGTGCGGCTGGAGGAGGCCTTTGAGTTTGTCAAGCAGCGGCGGAGCATCATCTCTCCCAACTTTAGCTTCATGGGGCAGCTGCTGCAGTTCGAGTCCCAGGTGCTGGCCACGTCCTGTGCCGTGGAGGCCGCCAGCCCTTCGGGGCCCCTGCGGGAGCGAGGCAAAGCCACCTCTACCCCCACCTCGCAGTTTGTCTTCAGCTTCCCGGTCTCCGTGGGGGTGCACTCGGCCCCCAGCAGCCTGCCCTACCTGCACAGCCCCATCACCACCTCCCCCAGCTGTTAGAGCCGCTCTCAGTCCCACAGCCGCATCTGCTTTCAGCAGGAGGTGGGTGGGCCACGCGTGGCAGCAAGTGAAAACTGACCAGCAGGGGCCAGGTGACCAAGCTCCTTCCCCATCCGTCTCTCCTTGGCCATCCTCCGGGCCAGCTAGAATGGCAATAAGGACTTCGAATACATCTTACAAGCAAACAAACAAAACACTCCAACCTAGAGCAATAATGGCTGTCTCAGCAGCCGGGGAAGACCTTGGTTTGGGTTTGTGTGTCAGTTTTACTTTTAAGATAGTAATTACTTACCTCATTTTTTTAAAGCAGTAAGGCTTGAAGTTATGAAATTCACAGATCCTGGCAAATGTGCCCAACGAGTTTTATTGGGGGGCGGGGGGTGGGCAAGGGATCAAGAAGCAAACACGTTTCCCAGAAGTGCCTGGATTTGCGTTCTTGTTCCTTTTTTGTTGTCGTCATAGTAACAGGAATTTTGTTTTGTTTATAGGTTTTTTTTAAGAAAACTTTTAGAACGTGGTTTTCATTTCTGAGTCACCAAGAGATCAATAATTATTGCTTAATAATAAAATATTTATTAAAAATTTCCTCAGAGTATCTAAGTCCAAGGAGTCTAGTGACAGTGAAACTAGAATATATTTATTTGTCAAGCAGCTGAACACAACAGCATGCAAATGTCGGAAGATGTGCCTGATTCCTTGTGGGGAGTCATGCTGCTTGCCCAAAGGCCACACCTTCCTGGCAGTTGAAATCCACCAGGACAGTCTTCTGCCTTGACCCTCAGACGCCAGCTGGAGAGTCAGCTATGAGATTGTTCCTACTCCTAGGCTTTGTGCAGAGGTTTGTGTGGTGCTCAAGTTGCATTTATTGCTCCTGGGAGGCAGAGAGGGGGAGGAGGAAGAAAGGAAAGGACTGCTCTTTAATTAGAGAAATTTGGTGGCCTAGTGGGTAGGAAGTTGCATTGCTAACCCAAAGGCATGCAGTTCAAATCCACAAGCTGCTCTGTGGGAGAAAGATGGGTGTTCTCCTTTCACGTGATTTATATAGTCTCTGAAAACCCACTATAGGGTCAGTCTTGACCCTATCATTCTTTGAGTCAAATTTTTTAAACTATTGGTGAGCTGGTTTCTGGGCAGATAGACCACTGAAGTGACCTAAACCACAGTACAACCTGCTCTCTCTGAGCAAGAATTGGTTTAGTGGTGGAAGCATGTTCTCATAGCTCTGCCTAGGTCTCGTCTCATCTGTGATAAATGCCATATCCTGTAAGGTGCTCCTGAAAATTGGCTACCATTCTGGTTTTCCTACCATGAATTGTTTGGTGTGACACCATTAGAAAATTAGCTAACTTGAGAAAAACCTAAAAAAGAACGCTTTTTTGTAAATTGAAGCACTCTTTTTGCATAGATCTGAGTTTTAAATTTTAGGGGGTTTCCTTGAAATGAAGGATGCCAACAAATTCCTGCATACTTTCTGGCTTAAGTGAATATTTTTTAAGGGCCCTCTGCTGAATGCCAGGGGAGGAAGTGGACACCACCTTCAGGCCTCCTTGAAGTTTCGAGGGTCTTGAGGGAGCAGTAAGACGGCCAGGCAGTTACCTGGCCTGAGGGGGTGGCTGCTGGGTTCAGTGTGTGGTGGGCCCTCAAGGGCCGTTTCAGGATCCTTTCTTGGGACTATGCCCTTCCATGTGGCCTTTCCGAATGGTGGAATGGCTTTTGGAGGAAAAAGGGTTGGTTTTCTGTGGGGTGGCTTTGGGGAGGGGAGGGAGAGGGTACGACCTACATGTTCATTTGTAGTGTTGTGGAGCAGTGTTGTTAAAGAGTGCCAGATTAGAGACAATGGCAAACTTGTCTAGAAATGAAAGCATGTTTGTTTTTTGGGTTTTGTTTTGGTTTTAGCCCTTTAAGAGTCTAGATCTAAATGAACATTCTTGCTCACCTTACAAAATAAAATAACTTCAAGCCTCCGTGTTGGAATAGTGTCAGGATGTTCGTGCTCTCTTTCATGGGGTGCCCAGACAGGCCCAGGTTCACTTCACAGATGCCAGCCTATGTCAGCCTGTCTTCTCAAGCCCAACCTCTGGGCAAGGTCAGAGTTCCCACTTCCTGCTTTTAGAGAAACCAGAGGCTTCCTCCTGCCCCTGGGAACTGCTTGGACAAAAAGTAAAGGGCGAGGCGAGGAGGAGTTGGGGTTCCTGGACAATGGGACCATTGAGAGACCGCGCAGTTGGACATTCCCACTTTTTTGATTCCTGGAAGTCGCTTCATGTTTTGTGATGGATGAGGTCAATCGGGTCTTGCAGCTGAAAAAGCGATGGGCCCGAAGGCAGATTTGCCGAGGAAGGAGGGGCTGCTTGCGGGGGAGTAGCCTGGGGAACAGATTCACTCTTTATAGAATGAGCGTGCATTTGCCAAAAGCTCCGCATACTGCTTTCCCAGATTGGAATTTAACCATGGGCAGTTGGAACTCAGGACTTGTTCCAGCTCTTATCGTTCCCAGCTTCCCAAATCAAGTGTTTTACCACAATGTCAAATAACTATTTATAAAGCCATTTTCTCTGTACTTGGTAACTGTGATTCCCAGACCTCTTAGAAATGAATAGGAAATTGACTGGATTGGTAAAGGGGACCTTCCCCAAACCCCGCTTATGATTTTCCCACCAGAAGCCTCCTTGATGAAAACATCACCACAGGGTAAATAAAGCCCAGTGGTCAGTGAGCTCTGACAGGCGCCCACCTTCCTTCCTTCCTTTTGGTGACTTCTGCTGATGTGAAATTCTCTAACGGCCAAAAGGCATTGCTGTTGCTGCTGGTTATCAGTGTTGTTGTTCACAGTAGGTTCTCTGGATGTTCTGTAGACACCACGGGATACTCCGGGAATCTCGTCTCCACAGAGGCATCCGTGGAGCAGCACTGAGGGCATGGGCCCACTGTTCTAACAGCACGGGTCTGAGGCCAAGACGGGATGAGTCACTGAGCCTTTGCTCAGCCTCACCTGAGGCCCAGTGCTCATGTGTCCATTCTGGGCAGATTTCCACAAAGCTGAGATGCCTTGAGAATTTTTTTTTAAACCTTTGCAAAGATGGACACAAAAGTAAGACCACTGGTTCAAATGTGAGGGGAAGGGGCTGGACTGGGGTTGACCAAAGATCACCGAGTTGTTGTATTAAAGCAACAGTTCTCTTTGGCTTCCCATTAGAATCACTTTTCTGGAAAGCCTGACTATCCCGGATCAGTTAAGAGGTTTTGGGGTGGGATCCAGGCCTGTGATTCAGAGCTCCCCAGGTATTTCTGATAAGCAGCCACATTCCAGAAGCTGCTTTGGTTTCTGCGTGGCAGTTGCCGTGGGTGGCTGGACCTGGATAATACAGTATAAGCTTGTCTCACAGGAGCTCCAGGTGTGTCATAGGCTCAGCGTGGTCACACCACCAGGCCCAGCCTAACAGCGGGGCAAGATGGCTTGTCTCAGGACTCCTCAAGGAGCAAAAGGCCCCTGAGCTGGATGCACTCTGTCCTGCTCCTTGAAAATCAGCTGCCTCGGGAGCGGCATAAGATGACTGAATACAGAAGCTCAATGTTTACCTTCAAATCCCTTGGCTTTCAAGTAAGATGGAGAAAGTGACACCCCCGCCCCATTCTCTGCTCTTCCTTAAGAGTTAAGTCATACAAAGAAGAGACTTCTTTCAGACAGCAATGCAATACTTGTAACTTCTGTAAATAACCCCATCTTCCAGAGTGATGTCATTTCTACATTTGATATGCCTGTATTTCTGTAGGATGTACATAGTTTAGGGGACTTTTTTGTTGTCATTGTTGCTTAGTTTGGGGTTTTTTTAGAAAAGTCAACATGTCTGTTTATTTATTGCTTGGGAAAAAAAGATCATTTGAAGAAAAATAAATAACATTTTCAACCACTTCTGGCTTGTTTATCTTTTCCTTGAAAATGGTGCCTGTTCCTGTCACAGAGAAGGGGCGAAAAGAAGATTTGAGCTGTTCAATGTCTTGTGTTTGATGACATCTGCCTTGACTCTGGCTGGTAGTATTGGTCAACATATTTATGTTTTTTAAATACTTGTTGCTGTTGTTTTGTGCTGTCGAGTTGCTTGTGACTCAGCGATCTCATGTACAACAACCCTGAAACCTTGTCTATCCTGTGCCAACGTTACTGTCTGACACGCCTACCTTCATTATCCCAGTCACTGTACTAATCCGTCTCATCACTGGGCTCTCTTTCTCTGTTCCTCCACCCTTCCAAGCATGTTTTCCCTCTCCAAGGACCGGACCCTCCTTGCAACATGCCCAAAGTAAGTCATATGAAGCCTCAGAATCATTGCCTCCAAGGAGCAGCCTGGCTTCACCCGTTCTAGGACTAATCTTTGTTCTGGTAATCCATGGTACATTCAACACTCTTCTTCAGCACCACAGTTCACAAATTCTCCTTCTATCATCCCTAGGCTTTGTCCAGCTCTCTGACACATAGCAAGCAATTACAAAGACTATCGCCTAGATCCAGTGCACCTTAGTCTCCAGATTAACATCATTGCTCTTCAGTACTCTGAAGAGGTCCCTGACAGCAGACTTTCCCAGTGAAATTGGTCTCTTGATTTCCTGGCTGCTGATACTCAAGGAAAATGAGAGGAAGCCACTGGTAGATATCTAATCTACAAAAGTCTGGTTTCTCTGGTAGCAGGGATACTGATGGGGAAGAACTGGATAGGTATACAGGGCTCTTCATCTGCAAACCGATTGTGTGCCATGCACAGGATACAGAGAGAAAGATGACTTCTTTGCCATGGAGAGACAAACCAACCCGGGTCCTATGAAAGGATGTAGGAGTTAGCTGCTTCTAGGTAAGCCCTCTATATTGGAACAAGAAGGTCCAATCTAGCTCACAGAATCAGGAATATTACTGATCTTGTTGGGGGTTGGATCATAGAAATAAGCAGTACTTTGCAAAGATTGAGGGAGTTGCAGTGGTGGAGTCTGTGGGAAATTGCACTCCTAATCCATAGGTGATAATCTCTCCACTTGAGGCTCTTTGGAAGAAAGAGGGGCAGTTTCCTCCCATGTGGTTTACAGTGTCAGAAACTGAATCAGAAACTGTTCAGTTCCGAGTTGGTTCCAATTTGATGGCAATGAGAAAAAAAGCTTCAAAGATGGAAAGCATAAACTGGCGAAGTTTTACCTATTGCATCAGTCAGTGGTAGGGATCACTTGCACAAGGTGCCATTGGTACAAATTTCCCAAACTGGAAACCAAAAACATTAGTTAACATTTAGAACCTGGAACACACTCCTCCCAATAAATTCATTTGACTCGAATGTTAGCCAAACCTAAAAGGTGAGTAAGACCACCCAGGAGACACTCGTTGCTTCAAACAGTCAACAACTTGAGGTCAAAATAGCATTACGCAGAGATACAGACCACAAGGAAGGAGTGATAGGAAGGATTAAAGGTCATGAGAATTACAGGGAAGAAGTAGT